AGAATCTGTGCTTTAATTTAAAAAAAAAAGGATTTTGACTCATATATTGGATGTAGCTACAAACCAGTTCTACTTTGTTATAAATCAGTGCGTTAAAAAATATTTATAACAACAGAAATTAAATCAGATGGCTAAAGATCAGTTTAATCAAAACGTTTTAGAGAGATGTAGAAGGCTTGCAGTTTCTTCTTTGTTTCTCTTTTTGTGTACTTATACTGCTTTCATTACAATCTGAACCAGTTTTGTGTCTGAAGTTTCAGTTTCAGACACAAATTTTGCTTGTCTTCTGCAAAAATCTGACATTCAGGCTGCTTTTTCTGATGTTCAGCTAAACATTTCTCTGACAAAATGCAACTTTTTTTTTTAAGATTACAAAGTGGAGATAGATGTACATACTAGTAAAATATAACTGTAATCTATACTGAGTTTTCCATGGTTTTTTTAGAGGTTGCGTTTCTGGGAAGTGGTGGTGTTATTTTAAGGCTGTTTCCCTGTGTTTTTTTTTTTAATTTAATTTAATTTTATAGAGAATAACCCTTGTAGTACCCCTGTACTTATAGTCCAAAGTCTTTAATCTTCACAAAATAACATGTTTTTAGAAATAATGCAAACTTATGTGGATAACTTTAACTTGCATACATAAAAAGAATAAACATGTTTTATCAACACAACTCCATTTGTGGAGTAAGCGTAGTCGGGGCCTACAAGTTTCTGGCTGTTGTATATATTTGTTTTTGCTGGTTAAACACCCAGTTACCGGAGTATTTGTGTTGTGTTACCAGCGCCTCTGTTTAGAAAAGTTCAGTCCTGGGTAACCTGTATATGTTGTAGTTCAAGTGTCCCATTGTGTGAAGTAATGCTGCCTACTTGTAGCCACTGTGAAACGCATGCCGATAGGGGTGATTGGGTTACTATAATACGGCTGTGAATAGGAGACATTTCAGTATAACAGTTACTCAGATGTTGCGTACTATCTTCACTGCCCCAGAAAGGGAAATGACACATGTAACCTAAAACCAGATGTCTCCCTACTTCACTTAGAAATTGTGGATCTTCTTAACAGATACATCTGGGGCTTGTCTAAACTCTGGTGTCTTGCAGAATTTGAGGCTCTTTCACACAGCACTCACATAAGCCTTTCTTGAAACATAATAATCATTTGTGATCATTTCATTAAAATTTGTAGTTCCAGTTGCCAGCTTACCTTTTGTCTGAGAGCAAGAAACCATTTTTTTTGTTTTGTTTTGTTTTGTTTTGCCAACACACAGACCTCACACTTTTGTTTTTCCATCCATTCTGATGTATGTTGCCGAAATACAAAATTGGAATCATTTGGCTGAGCAAAAACATTGAGGTCCTTCATATCAGCTTTTCTATAGTAGAAAAAAAAAACCTTAAGTACTGGGTTTAGTACAGTACTATGGATAGTACATATACCCACTTGTCCAATCAAGGTGTGGGCTTTACTATTATAGCTCCCATTAGGTAGGACTAATAACCTTTCACATTCACCTTGAGAGATTCATGCATTTCAGTTTTCAAGTTACACAGAATCACGAATCACTCCTTTTGACTTATTCAGACTAAACTTCAATTTCTCCTCCAGATGACCTGACCCCACCGATTATGGCTGCAAGACCTTCCATGGCGCTGGCTCTGGGTCAGCAGCAGGTTGCTGGCTTGGCCAGAGCTGCCACACTGGAGCAGCTTAGAGAAAAGCTGGAGACCGGTGGTGGAGAGGGGCCAGAGAGGAAGATGGCCCGCCTGGCAGAAGAGCAACAGCGCCTGATGCAGCAGGCTTTCCAGCATAACCTACTGGCCATGGCTTCCCATATGCCTATGAACCTGCGTCTGGGAGCCCCTGCTATGCCTACCAGAGGTCAGTGTTGAGACGTTTGTTGAGATTATGTCTAAAAAAAACCCTGGAAATTAAATACAGTGTTTGTTTTTCTATTGGAGTTAGAGGTATTATATTATGGAATCGCAGTTTTAGTGTGTTTTGAGACATCTGTAAACTTTGGTGAATGTTTGTGGTGAATATCCATCAATATTCTCCAAAGTCTGTGGATATCTCTAAAGAGCATGCTGCTATCATGGACCCAAACCTATTGCTGTACAATGTATTGCTGGGATTGGCAGCAAAGCATGCATTAGCCAACAGAAAAAAATCTTTAAGTGTAAGATATTGTTATCATCTTTTCACTGCTTAAGTTTTTTCTTTCTGTGGGGGAACCTGAGCTCGTTTCTTGTTCTCATCAAACCCACCAGGCTAACTCTTCTGCCAAAAACAAATGTGTTTTCCGTTGCAGAGCATGTAGCTGCAACCGATTTACCAAAGCCCATCAGTTAATATGTTTTAAGCTGCTGCACGACTTTGCAGAAATC